GGAAACAAATAATAACGTGCTAAACCTTAAATTCATGCCTAATTTGATGACATTTGTTTAGATGTATTTAACGCATTTGATCAATTCTATATTTACTTGTTTAGCTTTGTTAATTAAAGCCATTATTTAGATAAGATCTTCAGACATAAATCTGCATTTTTACTAGATACGAAAATATTTAATCTGCACAATTGTTAAACGCTCTTTATTTTCTCGGTAAAATACCGCATGTACATAGTTTATTAATAATTCCCCCATCCATTTTGGTAACAATGTCCAATTTAGTATATCTATTAATATCTTTTGAATATTTCATAACTTATACTAAAATGGTAATGATGGATTGGCTTGGTGGCTTAATCATATGAATGTTACTCAAGGCACGTAAAACGCGATAGTGGGTACGTAAACGTAGCCGTTTGAACCTGTTACGAAGGCTACTTGTACATTTACAAGGAAATGCTTAAGAAATGGGAGAGTGAACGTCTCCATGGCTAAGCAAACGTAGCTGTAGCGGTGTAAACGTAGCCGTTCAAACTTGTTATAATCACCTACGTGCGTAATCACAAGAAAATAACTTAGAAAGTGGGTGTGTAAACGTAGCCGTGGTTGCGTAAACGTAGCAGAAGTGGTGTAAACGTAGCAGTTGGGGAGTAAACGTAGCCAAAATTCAAAATGTATTTAAGAACCTAAAGTTCCAGGCAGTAGAGGGGGGAATTTCCCAGTTCCAACTTATGATTAATAGAGAATTTTATAGTTCTACTTTTATGATTAAAAAAGAATACCATTCCATCCTTAAATAAATCGTTCTCTTTTCGCTTGAATAAAATATATGCTTATCTGAATATTCCCTTGTATATTGTCTTTGAGTTCGACTAGTAACTTTAATAAACCCTCTCGAGACTCAATTCGACGGATTGAATTGACTTGTAACTTCGACTAGGCTTATTATGACTCGGATTCTAGAGCGACTGCGGAATCAGATATTACCATTCACCTTGGTGACTTGCGAGAATTGTGAGACTTACGATTGGTTATTCGACCCTACCCTGTTAATCATTCACGTGGACTTAAAGTTATCACCGTTATCACTTGACCATCGTCCGCTTTTACCTCACCGTCTTTATTGAGATATCCCTAACAGCATCGCCTGTAGTTGCTTCGCCTTATTACCACTCCTCTAAA